TGTTTATGACTGTCATGGTGCTGCACATGTGATCATTTATGACACTGGCCATTTGATGGTTTGACATTTTGGTTTAGACACAAGCAAATGTGACAGTTAATAGGTGTAGAAAACCTCCTGCGCTCCTTCCCTAATCCCTACAAATCTATTATAGCTGCCAACATCCAATCATATACCTGATGATTAAATGAACGTACAGAGAAAAAATGATGTGGTGCTACTACAACTAATAAGTTCAGTAGTACATATATGTAGAAGATACCGCATAAATAACAAAATAAGTAATAATGTAAATATTATAAATATGTAATATATATACAATATGAACCTCCCAAGTGCTTCCTACAATGTGAAATATAAAACAAATATAAATCAGAAATATAAATAAAAAGTGATATAAATATTCCACACAAATGTGTGTGTGCACATAAATAGTGTTGAAAGACCAGAAATGTCCATACAAGGACTATTGTGCCCAATTGATCCTAAAAGGATCTAGAAGTGTTAGTGAACCAACCAACTAGTCCAAATGGGACTGCAGTTGCTATTGTGCTCCAAGAAAACAAATAGTGACAAACGCATAAAGCGTGAACCAGATAATGAAAAAAAAATGCATGAACAATCATGCACCAAGAAATGATCCCCTAAATCAGACAAAAAAAAATTCAAATCAATAACCGCATGTATAAAGTGCATATACTAAATCACATGCCGTGAAAAAAACAATATTCACAAAGAACAACGCATGTCATTACATAACGTAAAAATGTGTAAACACATAGATAAATGTCCAAATTGGTGTAAATCACCATACATTAAATAAAATAAATCACTCATGAAGATGGGTGATAAACTGTGTTAGGTGACAGGGGGGTATCCACAGGTGACAAATGCACGCTCACCTCGTTGCCTTGACCGACACGGGGTCAAAACACTTTTAGGATCACTACTCCTGGATCCTTCATATAAGGAAACTCCTCCAGAGCAGTCTCACTTTCCTCTTGGTAATCTCCCCCTCTCAGATAGGTTAAAGGGTGGCAGATCTCCTCTCCCTGTGATATCATATAATGCGGCCAATATGCTCATTATGAAATACAAGCAGAAGCTCCCATAGTATAATACCATTTATTAAAACAAAGTGTAGCAATCAGATTTTCCAAAAATGCAAACTCACATTTTCCTACATCTTGTATAAGGCACAGATAAGCAAAACCTTATGTTCTGGGTGTAGTTGCATGGGTGTGCAAAGATGGCGTCCAAACCGGAAGTGCGTCACCGCGTGCCTACGTGTTGCGTCACGTTGGTCACGTGACTTCCTCAGGGCACTTTATGTGGTATCTTCCACATATATGTACTATTGCACTTATTAGTTGTAGTAGCGCCACATCATTTTTTTCTCTAAATGTGACAGTTACATTTCCCCGCATGCCAGGAACGTTAGGCCTTGTTCATGCCATATCCAGAGACGTCAGTTTTTCTGCATGCATTTTACATGGACAAAAAGAAAACAGTTGTTCTCTATGTGCCCTGTTTACACCACAACACTAGTATAACATGCAAATGTTTTCTGTGCAGAAATCTGCAACATGTATGTAGCTTTCTGCGCTGAAAAATATACTGATGTGACATCAACATTGTGATGTGAACAGGCAGAAGAGAAAGTGATGACACGGTGTGATGTCTGTCTATACAAAAAAAAAAAAAAAAAGTGCATGAAAACTGAAGTTAACATAAAAATGCACATGAAAACTGATGTGAAATCTGCTTGGTTTTCCATCACTTTTTATGCATGTATGGTGTGAAAAAGGTCTAAATGTTTACTTTAAATTAATGGGTTTACTTCTGCTTTAAGTATGGCTGTCATTACTTTGATATTTACACTTTCATTCAGGCTTGATGGTATACTTCTTACTATACTTCTGGTGCAGTGGCTTTCATTCACAGAAGCGGTCATTTATATAGTGCCAATAGTTTGCACAGCGTTTTACAAAGGAAGACTATACAGGTACAACACAATTCAATACAAGACAGGTAGCAGGGCCTTGCTCCAGAGAGCTTACAGTCTATTAGGGAGTGGCAAGTGGTACAAAAAGTAATAACTGTGAGGGATAAGCTGATGGTATTATTAAAAACCAGAAACAGCTGGGAAGCCATCTTGCTGCTCACCATATGCTGCCACCTACTGTCTGGCGGACTTGTCAGTAATCCCACATCCCTGTATGACCAACTAACTCTTCCCTATGCTATCCAAAACATAACCACTTGTCCTCCAGAGGATTTACCCCCATTCTGACAATTGTGCGGTCATGCAATGCTGAACATAAATTTATCTCATATTTTTTTGACAAATAGAGCTTTCTTTTGGTGGTATTTGATCACCTCTGAGTTTTTTATTTGTATATATTATAAACAAAAAAAAAAATGACAATTTTGAAAAAAAAAAAAACAATATTTTTGACTTTTTGCTATAAAACCTATCCAGTAAAAAAAATAAAAAATAAAATTTCTTCATAAATTTAAGCTAAAATGTATTCTGCTACATGTCTTTGCTAAACATAATCGCAATACATGTACATTATTTGGTTTCCTTCCGGGGCCCTCAATCTACGGCCCTCCAAAAGTATTTACCCGGCTGGGGAAAAGAAAAAAAAAAAAGGCGCTGGCAAATAGCTAGGCTGCTCGCTGAGTCCTCAGCTGTGAGGACCCAGTGAGTGGCAGCTTGGTGAAGAATCACCCAGTGACTGCAGGCTGATTTTCTCTGCAGCCAGAGGATCAACAGGAGAGGAGGATGAGGAGAGTGCACCAAGCCCAGTGCGTTACAGTGTACAGTGCATTTTAATTATTGTATTGTTTGTTTTTTCCTGTTTTTTTTTGCGCTACAAATAAGATATGTGCCGTGTGCATAGGGATTTGTTAATATTTTTTTCAAACCATAGTCTGGCCCCCCAACAGTGTGAAGGTCAGTGAACTGGCCCCATTTAAAAAGTCTGAGGACCCCTGGTTTACATGCAAGTTAGAGTGTCTACAAATGGCGGTATATATACTGGAATTTTTATTTTTTAATTTTTTTTCATAGTAATGGCAGCAATCAGTGACTTATTGCGGGACTGCGGCGGGCATTCAGACACTGGGTGGGAACTGACTAACTGCCACTGACATCCCCAGTGACCTTTCTACAGTGATCAGTGCTAATAAAAAGCACTATCACTGTACTAATGACACTGGGCAGAAAGGGGTTAACATCTCGGGTGATCAAAGGGTTAACAGTGTGCTATGTTGTGTTTAACTATGTAAACATGCTGCTTTGTATTGCTCTGCTGTGCAGAGCAATATAAAGCAGCTTATTCATGCTGACAGGGGAGAGATCTGTGTTGTTTACACACAGACCTCTCCCCTGTCAGCTCTGCCAACGATCACCGAGTCCCTACCGAGAATCGGCGGTTGACATGCCAAGGAGCCAAAAGCGGCGTGGGTAGGGAGCACGCATGTGCCCCCTACCCGGAAATGCAAATCACGTATATATACTTCTGCTGTAGGGCAGTTGGGTAGCTTTTGAAACTAAGCTCTAAAAGGGAAGTCCTGCTTTAAGGACTGGTCCCCCGCTCCCCGTTTAAGGATGGGCACCTTTGGGGAACAGGTACCAAAAATAGACAGGTAGCCGCTCCCATTTCTGCTGCGATCACCTTGGCGATCGGAAGCAGAAGTTGTCCTCCCTCCCCGTAGTCTTCTTGGACACATGAAAGGTCCCAGAAGACTATGGGACCATTCATAAAGCGCAGTGCTACTTGAGTATGCACAGTGAGCATCTGGCTGTGAAGCTGCAAGCTGTCACTGCCGGGTGCCCACAATAAAGATTCTGGCACCAGGAACACAGGGCTGCCAGTGAAACTGGCTGCGCGGGGAACACCATGGGATCGAGGGACAGGTGAGTGTACGTTTTTTAAAAGTCAGCAACTACAGTTTTTGTAGCTCCTGACTCTTATTTATTTATTTTATTTTCACTGGAACTCCTCTTTTAAAATAATTTTTTAGCTGGAATTGCACTTAAAAAATTCCAACTTTACATACAAATTCAACTTAAGAACCTATTTTGTTCGTAACTCAGGGATTGCCTGTATTGAGGCAAGATTGGTGATATAGTTGGGACAAAGTTGTACATGGCTCTGTATGATATTCGTTTTTTTAGTTTTATTTGTTGGTCAACTGGAAGCCAGTGGAGGGATTGGTATAAAATATATATGTGATTAACAGTAGCAGAATATCCTGTGACATAAAACATTTTAACTCCCACCATTTTTTGTAGGGGTCTCCGCTAACAGAAAATATCAAATGTTTTGGCGTTTTAAAATTGAGTTTTGATGCAAGAAAAAAAATGGCCATTTTAGTATGGGTTCACAAAATTAGAGAATGAAACCAAAATGGTTAAAAATGCTATTCAGGCAACACACATAAACCTGCCAGCAAAAGTTAATAAATGCAAACTATTTTTTGGAGTTTGAACAGAAGATGGTTTTTACTAAAAATGTGGAGTTATACTTGTGACATTACAAACTTTAAACACACAAGACCTCTGTATTTAAAAAGCTGAGCAGCTGAACATTTGCTTACATCTATTTTATGCATGGAATATTTATATTGATTTTCTTTTAATAGGTAAATCTGTCATCCAGAATCGTCTTAATGAATCAACCACCAGTGTCATCGGCTTGAATTCTGTTAAAAAAGAGAATGTAAACCATCAGTCTGATATTGATCCAAAAATTCCAGCACAGACTAAAATCAGTAAAAGAAAGAGTAAGCCTATGAGAATCATATCTAATGAATTTGCTTCACGTAAAAGGAAGTATCTCACAGAGCCAACTATTTATTCTGTAAAGCAGCAAGACACAATTAAAGGGCATGCTCTTGTGAATGACTGTGGCCAGGAAAGCAGTCCTATTCAAAGAGATGATACTCCTGTTGCAACAGAGGATTTCCAGCTTGGAAAGGAGGATAGGGGTATGAATGGAGAATTGGAAGGGACAGATATTACTGAAACCATAAAAAAGGATGACCATAAGCTGGCCTACTCTGAACATTCTGAAGCTTGCCAGTCAGAACCTATTGTACACTCGGTAAGAGAAAAGACACATGAATGCACTATATGTGGCAAATATTTTGCCAAAAAATCCCATCTTCAGTCTCATAGGCGAGTTCACTCTGGAATAAGACCATTTGCCTGTCTGGACTGTGGAAAGCGCTTTACCAGTAACTCTACTCTTGTGGACCACCAGAGGATTCATACAGGAGAAAAGCCATTTGTCTGTTCAGAATGTGGAAGGAGCTTTACCAAGAACTCTAACCTCATTGATCATCAGCGTACTCACACAGGAGAAAGGCCTTTTGCCTGTACAGCCTGTGGGAAATGCTTTGCTAGGAGCTCCAACCTAGTAGAGCATCATAAGACTCACACAGGAGAAAAGTCCTTTGTGTGCTCTGAATGTGGGAAAGGCTTTTCCAGAAGCTCAACTCTTGCAGAGCACCAGAAGACGCACACAAGAGGAGAGACCTATATCTGCTCAGAATGTGGCCAGTGCTTCACTAAGAACTCCAGTCTTATTAGACACCAGAGTATTCACACTGGTCAGAAGCCATATATATGTACAGTATGTGGAAAAGGATTCTCTAGTAGCTCCAATCTGGTGAGACATCATATCACACATACAGGAGAAAAACCATTTGAATGCCCTATATGTGGCAGGACTTTTAACCAGAACTCCAATCTTATTTCCCACCAGAAAACACACAGAGTCAAGACTTTTGAAGTAAAATAATCCTCCGTACATTTATTTTACTGGTGAAACACATGAACTGGAAATTATGTGGTCTATCAAGATACATTTTTATTATATTTAACGTGCATTTGAATAAAGAGAGCTGACTGAAACAAACTCAGTCACTGGTTCTTTTTTTTTGTTTTGTTTTTTTTGTTTTTTTTTAATTTCTTAAGGAAAAGAATTGCAGGCTTGTGTTGAATTTTTTTAATTTTAAGCTTTGCAACAATCTGACACTTCCAGAAGTGTCAGATCCTATTAAATTCTGGCTTCCTCTACTGATATGTTAGGCTGCCTGCAAGACCTCCTGCTGATACTGACAGCAGGAGTGGTTTGCAGACATCATTAATGAAAGTCTTGTTATTATGCAGACCTAACATCTCTAGGGAGTCTCTCTGGAGCTGTCAGGGCTGTGCGAAAACAAGCTCACCTCTCCCAAAATGGGGGCAGCAATGACAAGAAAATCTCCTACTGTCATTATCAGTGCTGTGCTGGGGGCTGCAGCAACATGAGTTTCTCTGGGGTTGTGTAAGTGGGGTGCCACTGTCAACTTCAGAGAGACTTAGGAGCCTTCTGTATGCAGTAGTGGCCTTGGCTTGCAACAAAACCACTGATGCTGTGAGCTGAAGAACAGGCTACCCAGGCATTGGTTTTGTTGTCTTCGGCTCCGCACAAAGTGCTGATGTGCAACAGGAGCCATGTACAGTCAGCTGCAATGAAAGCATGGTTATTCTTACAGCCCTGATGGCTCCAAAGAGAATTTCTTCTGAGTTCTTTACATCGCAGTATTTGATTACAGCTATCTGAACACCACTCCTGCTATCACCATCAGCTGGAAGCTCTGCAGCAGCTGTAACATAATGCTGGGAGCCGGAATTTAGTAAGATCTGACACACCAGAAGTTTTGGATTTATGCAAGGATTGAAATCAAACAAAAAACCTAATTAAAAACATAAACCAGATTGATCTATTTTTACTTCATTCATTAAGCACGTAGATAAAAAAATATATATATATATATTTAGTGATCAGCTTAATGAAAATAAACTTAACAATGAGTGTTAATGTTTTAAAAAAAAAAAAAAAAAAAAAAAAAAAGGCTTCTTATCTACATGGGGCAGACATATTTGTTGATCACAGACATATTCTCTTCTTTCTCCTTAGTGGTGCGGCACAGTGAACTACACGCAAAAATGTAATGAGATACTAATGTACTAATTTAAATTAATGCGTAAATGAAATGTTTTTCTCACGTTGACTCCAAATGTCAGATAAGCCTATCTCGCCATCCCCATTGCCCTATTCTGCTGCCAGAACACCTGAAAAGTACTTCTATGTATGGTGGAACACATGACACTCGCTTTGCCAGCACTCATTTGGTGCCCTGTGCCCTGGTGGCCAATTGCCAGGCCTAAGATCTGACTCGTGTGTAGGTTTTGTTTTTATTAGAATGAAGGTTTCTTGGTTTCTCAATGGTACATACAGTTGAAGAAAGTCAGATACCATATCCACTTGAAGACCCGCTAACATACATATACATTACAGGCTTCAAGTGGTTGTACTGAGATGATGCCTACAGCTGCAGGGTCCCCTCCCCGCCAGTGCCTCTCCAGGATCTCCGTCCCACCAGAGATACCAGAACTGAAGCCGTTGCTTTTGCCAGCTTAACATAAGGCCATTGGAGGACCGGAAGGTCACCGATTGACCTCTATGACACAGGAAACCGGAAGTGACGAGTACCATTGTCACTTTCGGTTTCCTGGATACAAACCTTTTTGAAATGGAAAAGTATCTGGTCACAGCAATCTTGGTGTGATCAGATGCTTTTAGGGCTGAGGGGAGGTCTAGGGTCTAATAGACCTCTGATCTCTCCATAAAGAGTACCTGTCACTGCATATTGCTATCACAAGGGATGTTTACATGATAATGATAATAAAAGTGATAATAAAAAAAAAAGGGATAAAAGAAAGAAACAATGCATAGAAAAGAAAACCGAAAAGAAAAATGTTCAAAGCGCTCGCATGTAATGGCCAACGCATGCACCAGGAAAAACGGCTTTAAAACAGACGCAGCAATTATTAAGAATCATTTTTTCTATTTTTTATTCTTTTGACTTCTGAATGGGATGACCTCTTCATACTCCGAATAGGATGGAGATGTGGAAATGGTGGCTTGTTTTATGCTTGGTTATCTTGTAGCTGCAAGTAATGGCACGATGTGACTTATTTAAATTAGAACAAATATAAAAATTGTAGCAGGGGAAGATGAGAGGTATATAATTTATACATACATTTATTTCACATAACAATCATCGTTATTTTAATGATTTATTGATGACAGGCCCGAGATAAAAATAAATAAAAGGAAATAAATATGGTGTTTCCTGCTCCCCACTCTATGTGAATGGGGCAGTGGTAATTAATTTAAAGTATATGAGTTCATTCACACCTGCGAATGCACTCTGCCTGCAATTACATGTCTAAACCACAGTGGAGGTTCCCGTGATTATCTGCCACACTGAAGGCAATGGGAGGCTGCTGGCTCTTGCCGCTAATCACGCCCACTCGCCTGTAACATCTCAAGCAGCGATCACATGCAAGGGATCTGCCCTGGCAGAAGGCAGTCTGTGTCCAGGGATGATCCCTCACATGTACTCACTGCAAGAGCGATAACCTGTAAATGGGCGTGATTAGCTGCGAGAGCCGGCAACCTCCTATTGCTTTCAATAGGGCAGCTAATTGTAGGAACCCCCCCCCCCCCGGATGGGGTTTTCGCATGTAATCATAGGCAGAGTGTATGTGAATGCACCCTAACGGAGGATGAAACGTTTTTGTTTAGTTTTGGATAGAGTGGAGAGAGATTAGATCCTCTGTCAGGTTTTTATTGTTGTCTGTGATTTACCCTCTCTACTTGTCTTATTTACTGTTATCACTGAGAGTGAAAGTGAAATAAAATCTTACATTTCGGGTTGTCACCACAGCATTAATAAAAGGCAAATCGTTTAATGGGGACACTAGTTCTGGAGCCACACAAGGATTCACTTCACTTTGGGAAGATATCTTTTTCCTTACAGTTTTGGCTGTGGGACAGAAAGTGAAGGGAAACCTCCCCATTGGGACACAGATGGCAAAAAAAAAACAAAGGGGTGTATAACCCTCCCATAGGCCCCATTCACACAGACGTTCCAATCGGGTCTGCATGCCCGTTTTTCAGGCGGACATGATTGAAACCTCTATTTTCCTCTATGGAGCAGCGGGTGTAAACGGATGTGTCCGTTTACACTCGCCAACATCCAATCTGCCAAAAAGAGACGGATGGGGATCCATTTCCCTTCCGTCCGTAGGATTGTATGGGATGGTAGTCGGATGGAAATGGACTGGCGGTCCATTGCCATCCGACCGCCCATAGAGGACAGCGGGCTGTATATGTGACCTATCCAAAATGAAAAACAAATTACCTTTACTTCTACTTTAAGCTATTGGATGATTCTCTGTTTGAAGCAGGGAAATAATCTTTAACCATAGTGCCCACCATGCAGACATTTGTGTCCATAGTGTGCATCTCCCCTGGAGATAATAGTCTGTATATTGAAGCTTTTGAAGCCAGTAAAGTATCTTGTAGACCGGCCTTTCTCAACTGTTTTTACTCTTGAGGAACCTTTTGAAATAAGTTTCAAACTTTGAGGAATCTGCAAAAAGGATTATACCCACAAAAAAGTAAGGCAGACAGGAAAAATGGTTGTCCGCTTACATTGGTGGTCATTGTAGAAGTGATTACATTGCATTACATTGGTGGTCAGTGTAGAAGTGATTACATTACATTACTTTGGTGGTCAGTGTAGAAGTGATTACATTACATTGGTGGTCAGTGTAGAAGTGATTACATTACATTGGTGGTCAGTGTAGAAGTGATTACATTACATTGGTGGTCAGTGTAGAAGTGATTACATTATATTACATTACATTGGTGGTCAGTGTACAAGTGATTACATTATTACATTACATTGGTGGTCAGTGTAGAAGTGATTACATTATATTACATTACATTGGTGGTCAGTGTAGAAGTGATTACATTATATTACATTACATTGGTGGTCAGTGTAGAAGTGATTACATTATATTACATTACATTGGTGGTCAGTGTAGAAGTTATTACATTGGTGGTCATTATAGAAGTGATTACATTGGTGGTCAGTGTAGAAGTAATTACCTTACATTGGTGGTCAGTGTAGAAGTAATTACATTATTATTATTATAATAATACAGTATTTATATAGTGTCAGAAGGTTTGCTCAGCGCTGTACATTATAGTGGGGGACAGTACATGAGACAATACAGTAACAAAACAAAACAAAACACGAGGGGTTCAAGGGCCCTGCTCTTTCGAGCTTACAATCTACTTTGATGGTCAGTGTAGAAGTGATTACATTACATTGGTGGTCAGTATAGAAGTGATTACATTACATTGGTGGTCAGTATAGAAGTGATTACATTACATTGGTTGTCAGTGTAGAAGTGATTACATTACATTGGTGGTCAGTGTAGAAGTAATTACATTGGTGGTCAGTATAGAAGTGATTTCCTTACATTGGTGGTCAGTGTAGAAGTGATTACATTACATTGGTGGTCAGAGAGTAGAGGTGATTACATTAGATTACGTTGGTGGTCAGTATAGAAGTGATTACATTACATTGATGGACAATGTAGAAGTGATTACATTATATTACATTACTGGTCAGTATAGAAAAAAAGCTTTGGCTATACTTCTCCTTTAAGGCATCCATGCCCTTTTTAAATTATTGACCTGCACTATGCAGTGGAAATGGAACTAGGAGTGTTTAGCTTCATGTATATAAAACATGAGATAATAAAGTGGTGTAGCTACTTATTAACCCTTATATATAAACTAACTATTGCTTATAAAAAGGTGGATTCTTAGTTCGCATGTATCGCAATACATAGGCTCAATTCACAAAGCTGTTAGTCATTTGAATGTCATTTTAAAATTTCTTTGGACTCAGATGAAAATAACTGTCATTTGGGCTCCCCATAGCCCACATTGGAGCTTGCTTTCTCTTTGCACTTAGCAAGCATTAGAGACCCAATGGATATTTCTTTTATCCATAGTACATTCATTGAGTAGTTGGTGTAGGGTCTATTATTTGATGGTCCCATTGTCACAATTCATCTATGTCCATGGTTGTACTTAAGCATTATCCTATGGTAGCTTATATTCTATCTTCTATTTAGGCTCCCCACAACACACATCAGAGGTTTTCTTTTTTTTTTGGGGGGGGGGGGGGGGGGGTTATGGTTTTATGAGAATGCAGTGTGTCCATAATCACTCTTCTTTTGTATTTAGTATGCTGAACCTTGCATTACCTGTTCCACCCTCTCTTATTATGTACGCTGGGTTGTACATTCCCTGTTATATATGTAATATCCTATTATGAATGCTGTTATGTACATTATTCTGCATTCTGTTCTGTTTGCTGTGCTTTACATTCCTATTGCACACTGTTCCATTCTGTACACTGTGCGGTAAAATCCCTGTTTCAGGTTGTCCCAGTCTGTATACTGTGTATTACATTCCCCATTCAACAGCCATATATTCTGTGCACTATGCTATACTTACTCTATTCTATATCTATACTATATGGTACTTTGTACCTATTCCACATTGTTACATTCTTTGTACTATACTGTATATTCTATATTCTTCCTTGTTCCATTCTTCACATTGTGCCGTGTATTCCATATTCTTCAATGTTCCATCCTTTACATTGTGTCGTAAATTTCTATGTTCCTTGTTGTTTCACTTTTTACAATGTTCTGTGCATTTCCTATTCCTTGTCAGTACACCCTTTAACTTGTGCTCTACATTCCCTATTCCTATTTCCTATTAGTCAATTCTTCATCATTCCATTCTTTACATCAGGCATCATTAAATAGTGGACCACGGTCCAATTCCAGACTGACTGACTGTCCCATCTGGACTGCCATGGTCGCGCCACTTAGAAGATTGGTCTCTCTACCCCCCAGCTGCTGCTTGCAGCAGAGCAGAGGACAGGAGAGGTGGAAGGTCTGAACGGAGGCCAGTAGCTGCAAGCGGGGGCGATTGGTTGCACGGACTCTGGGTGGTCCTAGCAGCCAATTACCAGCTTGTTAACAAGAAAAGTTTGGCAGCTCCTGCCCTCTGT